AATGATATTATAGTATCATCATGGGAGAATAAAAGACATGCAGAAATTCTGTCCAATTCGATGACTTGTTTGGATATATCAGATTGCCATGTCAAGCTTAATGGTTGGTGGCTGCTCTATCATCTTCCCGCCCTTCGCAAGTTAAAGCTCCGCATGTGCAATGAGTTAAGCAGCTTACCAGGAAGCATTGAAGTCCTTGCCTCCCTTCGGTCGCTACTTGTGTTTGCATGCCACAATTTGGCGGAACTGCCGGAATGGTTTGGCAATCTCACCGCACTCCAAGAATTGGAAATCAACTAATGTCCTAAGCTTAAGTCCTTGCATGAGAGCATGCAGCACCTTACATCACTCCGATTGCTGCACTTGGATCACTGCGACAACATCTCATCACTGTCGGAGTGGTTCGGCAATCTCATCTCTCTCCAAAGACTTGAGATCTCAGGATGCCAACTAGTCAAGTCTTTACCACGATGCATGCAACATCACAGCGCTATGAGGGAGCTACAGATCAGGCATAACCCTGAACTGAAACAGTGGTGCGAGTATTTCCTGGACGAGAAAGAAATAGTGTGAATCAGATTAAAAAAAGCAATCCTTGCTTATTCTAAAGAAGGTAATGTGCTTCTCGAGTTTCCTGCCCAAATTATTCCCTGTTTACCTATATATACATGCTTCGTACAGTTGCATATCGGCTTTGTCTGTACCTACTATATGTTCTTATATGCTTAAGCTACACGATTCCACTCGTACGTTTGGCAGTGTATTGCACAAATGCTGCGTTGATCAAATGTACCTGCTGATGTAGCGGCCCTAGATCACATTGGCTCTGCATCTAACGTGCGGTAAGTAATGGCTATAAACACTCCATGCATCTGCAGATCACTTTTGTCTCTCGCTCTCAATCTGATCTTCAGGTTTCTGTTGTCCACCACAAAACAGCTTGATAAAGATACTATTGGATCTTGGAGGCCTTAGCTGTAGGCTGTAGGTGAGGATGAGATGCCAGATATGAAATTATGTAGGATGAAACATGTCTGATAAAGAAGGCTCGGCTAGGTATGTTTTATCTGTTTATTTCTTTTTTCTTTTTTAATACATAATGGAAGGATCACCATTCTTTGTTTGTTTATTTTCTTTCATGTAATCTCAGTTTCCTTTTTCTCTGTGAAAATGTAAATTACTGAATAACTGTAGTCAATCATCTTCATCTTGTTTCTCAACACAAACACTGGACTGAAGATGAAACTACTCATGCTTGAATAAGTATAAGATCTACTGATCTAGTACCTGTTTTTATAAGAAAGCACAATCTACTTCATGCTAAAGTAAGCTTAGTTGGATGGGATACTATAGATCTTAGCCATCCATAATTCTCTCATCAGCGGCTCATGGTTTAAATTGAATCCTTGTAGTTGGATGGGATAACCTCTTAGTTGCACACTTATATTATTATTAATTCAGAATCAACACCTGCTGATCACATCCTAATTGCTAGCTTTTGGCTCGTGATTTAACCATGCTTAATGATGATTGATGGTTTGTGAGGGAAAACGCCAAATTTAATGATGGGTACATTTAAATTTTAGATATAATTTTCTAACATATGTACTATGTTAGTTATATTTTATCTGCAATATACTCCCTATGTCTCAAAATATAAGATGATAAAAGTCTTATATTTTGAGACAGAGGGAGTACATTGCAAGAAAGGTGCATTGCACATACATGGTTGCTGGTTGCTTTTACAAAAAAAAGCAACATACAGTAGGCATCTCTTACCTTGTTTATTTTTGCGGTGGACATCTCTTATCGTGTTGCCTTATGCGGGGTATTTCCTACCACTCTTACCATAGGCCGAAGTTGTTAAAGTTAGAGGATTTTAAGGCATGGGTCCAGTAGTGAAAATTATGTTTTATGAGTTATGACCAAATTGAAGCTATATAACGCTCTGTTATTCTTAATGAAATGCAGGAACACCCCTGCCCTTTCGAGGTTCTAAAGAAAACATGATGAAGCTTAGGTAGCAACAGCACAAATTGGAGCTTTTGTAAGTTGGTGTATGAAAGGTATGTGTGGATGGTGGTGTGGATGCGCGAGTGCTGTTGTGCTCTACCTTGTAATCACGAAAACAATTAACCAACATAATTAGCGGAAATACCAAGGTGAACATGGTTCCACGTGCACCCACGTGAATTGTAAAATCAGAAAAATATACTAGGATATATAAAAGAATTCTGAAATTTTGGGGTATCAAACTTGGTCGACTGGTCTACTCACACATGAATTTTCGCTAATAAATAACACCCATGGTATTTTTAGCGAAGAAAACAAAATCGGATCTTATTATTACTTCAAGTGTGTTTTTTATAGCTTCGATTTTGACTCTTTTTTTTGCCTAGAATACCATGGGTGTTATTTCTTCACGAAAATCCACATGTAAGTAGACCAGTCGACCAAGTTTGATATCGGCCCCAAAATTTCAGATTTTGTTTTTGTTTTTATCTAGTAATGTTTTCCTGTTCTAGGGGGAACATCTCCATCTTCCGATGATGCGGCGCCTTTCGAGCTAGGCGAGGAGGCAGGGGCCTTCTTCGGAGATGGAATTGGATGGTTGTATCGTGCTGGTGTCCTTAGTTGTTTTGAGATGGCATATTCTGTTTGTGTCGGTCGTGCTTTCTCCTCCAGAGCCGGCATGTTCCTAGTCCCTGGTGCTTCATTCGTGGAAGAGGGCCTCAACGTCTTCAGCTTCATGTTCTTTGCGTATCTTTCTTGCTTGAAGCGTGCGAGGCATTGTTAGCTGCTTTCTCGCGCCTCTGTATCCTAGCGTGTTTTTCTTTTTCTATGTTGGTTTGGTATGGTTGTAGTCCTGGCTGTTTGATGGCTTCATTAGTTCAAAGTTCCATTTCTCTAAAAAATATATGCTGTGAATCAATTGATCTCATACAGTAAGCACATCTCAGTGATGGTCGGCACCAAAATATCTTTACTGGCATAAACGATGTGCGCTTTTCAATTATTCTCAAGTGCCCGTCGACGTCCCGGCCAAATATCCATGCCCTGAAATGTTATCATGCTAATCAAGACCGCCACTGGTCATGAGTTGTGTCTAGCTGTTCGGCTGTTCCCCTGGCAGCATTATACTGAGCTAAAGTCCGCAAAAGGACCTACCAGCGGCCAAGATCAAGCTGATCTCTCTATGATCTGAATTCTGAAGAAAGCATCTCAAACTATAGTGGGTGCATGCGTCAAATGTGAAAGGCTCCAAGCTAGCAAACGTTGTTGCCTATTTAATTAACCAGAAAAGGCCAATATCATGGAACTGTAGCACTATAAAATACGTATATGACTTCTGAAGATTTTCATATTTTTTTATTTTTTTGAAAAAGAAGTCTTACCCCCGGCCTCTGCATTTGAGCGATGCATGCAGCCATAATATTGAAAGTCTTCAAATAACATAAAGTCTTAGATTCATTACAGCTCGCAAGCGGAGCAAAAGAAAAAAAACTCAATACCACAACTGGTATGTATAATAGGACAAGGTCCCTAGAGTCATATCCTATTATGAGACCACTATTCAAACCGGTTGAAAATAGCTCATGCTACCATCTCTCACTGGTTGCATCCAGTAACCAAAGACTCCCTGGAGTCCGTAGGGGTGAGTAAGGATCACGTACGGATCCATGTCGTAGCTTTGAAGATAACCTGCAAGAAGGATAGAGTGTGTTGTCTGTTAAAAATCATATCGTTCCTGCAGTTCCATATAGCCCAAATAAGCGCACATATTTCAATCCAAATACGAGACGCAAAACTATGATCTACTCCAGCTAACCACATCCCAAATAACGATTCAATGCTAACTGAAGGAATGATGTTAAAGGCTATATGAATCGTTCGCCAAAGTAATTTCGCGAGAGGGCAATCTATGAATAGGTGTTGTATTGTTTCGTGATGACCATAAGAACAACATCGTGCACTGCCTACCCAACGTTGCTTTAGTAATTTATCTTTGGTTAAGATCACTTGCTTGTGTACAAACCACATGAATATTTTAATACGCAAGGGAACCTTAACTTTCCAAATATGTATCGATCTTGGGATTGGGCCAGAATTAATTAAACTCATATACATGGATTTGACCGTAAACACTCCATTTCTAGCTAACTTTCAGTGAAACGAGTCAGGTTGGTCGGATAGTTGAACCTCCATCAACCTCCGTACCAAGTGCTTCCAGGAGTTCCAGCGCTCCCCAACTAAAGATCGCCTAAACTGAATATTTAAGGGTACCGATTTTCATATGAATCTAGAACATATAATATGTGACCATAGGTCAAGACTGGTGTTTTTTGTTATAGATAGAAAACATGACCCTCGTTCTCGAAAACAAAATAACTGTAAACACATGATACAAGGCAAAACACTTGTTTAGCAAATTGGTCTGCGATAGCTAATGAAGCCATTCCTACAATTTGGCAACAAGACATACAACATTTAGTTTTCAGTGGTTGTCTTAATCTATTTGGTCAGTTAAACAATTCAATCTTCAAAATGTTATCTTGAGCTTATCTTTCTTCATTTTCAATGTAAAAAGTTTATAGGCGGGCAAATTGAAGAGTCACTTTCTATCTTTGCGACGAATTGGTCTTTGCGGCATACTCCTGAGTCCTGATGTTGCATTATGGAGATGTTTGCACCTATGTTGAAACCAGTAGGTTTGCTTTATTATATATCTTTTTGTGCCAATTATGGTAGTCATTATCTCTCAACACCGAGTTCATACAGATTTTTTTGCATGATCAGGCGATAGTGCTTCTACATGCGAGGGGCACTTGGTGTGTCTAATTGCTTGCTTGCTACAGAATACATTTCATGAACATAGCATCCTTTCTCTATAAATAGAGCCCTACACAAACATTCATCTCACACATTACGACGGCAAAACCTAGCTAAGGCCAAAATCTCCAATGGCAATCCGCTAGAAAACAAATAAAATACCAGCATCCATGGCTAAGTCACAATCATTGGCTGCAGCATTGCTGCTTGTCCTAGTGGTGTCCCTCACCGCCATAGAGGGTGTTCATGGCATCTGCGGCATGTCGAATGATGAATTCAAACTTTGCCAGCCTGCGGCAGCAGTGGAAAACCCAATAGACAGTCTGTTAGCTGAGTGTTGTGCCGCGCTTGGGAAGGCTAACTTATCGTGCATTTGCCGCTACAAGGCATCGCCAGCATATGGCTGAGGATGTACCACATTGACGCAGACCGTGCTATGGCACTGCCTGGAAATTGTGGCCTCACTGTGCCCAGCAACTGCTCGTGATGATCGGATGCACTATCCATGAATGTGTAGGTGCTGGTCGGTCTAGATATGCATCACCATTAATATGTCTAAATAAGTGGAGGAACACTTGAAAGTTCTTATTGTTATTGTCTGATTTGAACACGTCTCTATCTCATTAATCTCTCATTGAACGGTAGTATGTATGTATACTGGAAGTGTAAGGAGGACAAAAGTGCCTTAGATGTCCCATGATTTAATATTTTAAGTTGTGAGCTTGTTATTGCCCAAAAATTGTGTCTTTTCAATGAACAAGTAAAAGTCGATCACAATCTTTTCCCAATCAGTCTGCTAGGTAATTTGAATATTTTCATCAACTATCAAGGCGACTGGTATACATCCTTATAGTGTACTAAATTATTGGTAGGTATCCACAATAACATATGGCCGACTGCACTGAAATATACGGTTGGATGTACATGACCATGGTCACTACATTGATCAAAACAATTTTCGTTCCTAATTTCAGTTCCCTTTTCAAGTTCGAAATTTTACCTATTGCCCTCTTGTCGATTTTAGTTTGTAATTTTGGTCCCCTTGTCATGGAACTTGCTTTGGCCTATCTCGCAACCTAATACATGTTTTGTTGTTTTGTTAAAATTATTTTCTTTGACCTGCACACCACATGTTGCATCACTAGAGATTTGTTATTTTTGTCACCCTCGCCAGCAAGTGGGTCCATTTGTGACAATGTTAATGGTCTCATGTTCAAATGAAAATAAATTAAATGCGACAAAGATGGCTTTGAATCAAAGAAAATCTTGGCGTGCAATTTTTGGGAGTCATGTTCCTGTCAGTCATATTTGAAATGCCAGTGTGCTAATTAATTTGTTACATTCTTATGTTGACGGCCATGGACCCCCTCCTCACATATGATGGATAGAAGCTTCAAGACATCGCCAAGTTAAGATACACATCTAAAATTAGCCTGCGTTGCCATCACCTTATGTACCACTGCCCGTCCACCACCTCACAAGGTCTCTGAACTCTGATGTCCACAAAACTTCATTGTCACGTTAGGATCCTGCCGTGGCGCATGTTCCCTACGTCTGCCCCAATAGGTTATGTAGTCTTCTCTCGGTTCAAAGATGCAACAACCATTACAATAAGTCCATAGTATTTAGAGCAACTTTCATCAGAAAGGTTCATTTTCATGTGAGACAATAGTTACTAATGCCTTCCAAGCCTAATGTAGAGAAGACACTGGACTGAGTGCCCTCCATGACTGTTCATCTTTTGCAGCACCTCTGAATGTTTCAACTGCCCTTTTTATGGACTTAAATAGATTGATATATGGAGTGTGGATGTACTAGTTGGTCTCATGCCACTATTCGGCACCTGCAGTCCAATTTAATGTGGAACTTACCACATCATGGTTGTGTACATATCGGTTCCATTCAAACCGTAAATGTTATAAGTCAATTATTCAGTTCACCTTCCAAATTTCTACACTAAAGTAGGAGGTAGATGTCACGTTCATTGGATATCATCGAGTCTAAATTTTAATTGAGGAAAAGTTGGGGTCAAACCAGTCGATGATGTCCAAGTCTCTCGACAAAGTACACGACTAATTGCCACAACTCATCATAAATGACACTGCATATATACTAAACCACGGGGTTCACTAGTTTAACCCATGAGTTAATGGTGGTGCTTTTAGGTACCTCGATCGACATCTCAGAGTATTTTTCTGCTACTACCAACATTTATTGTGTGTGTGTGTGTGCGGATCTTTTGCTCTTTCTTGTATTTTTTGGGTGCTTATCAAGGTTCACACAAATTCATTTACAAGGACGTGTTTTGGCCTATATACACTCTTAAATGTTAATTATAAGAAAAAATTGAGGTGTATGGATAACTGAGGGGAAACATTTTGGTTTGTTGGAAGACAACAAATTTTATTGCGAAACTCATACATATTATAAATTGCTTAAGAACTTGCTTGGATGACAAGGAAAAAATTACGCCAAATTCGAAATTATTTGGAAGTAGGACAACATATTATGCCGCGATAACCTATATTTTGAGAAATGAAAATTATAAATTCCAATCTCACATTCTCAAGTGGCATATGTCCATCTGCCACATATAGGTTAGTTCTGAACTTCTGATTCACCCGATGTCAAGGAAACATTTGAGTCTGATTTTCAAGGAGGAAGACCACCCAGTTTTCCATTTCATTTAAACGTAACCGTAAAGGAGTACAATACAGCTCATGTTTCACACACAACGACCACCATCTCCAAGTCTGCCACAACCATTGCAACATGCTTCTTTTTGCAATGCTGCTAGACAGATTCCTTTACGGTGATAAGGTAACAAAATCCTCGACATCCAAATGTGTCATTCAAAAGTCAAAACAGCAAAATAAAAGTAGAAAAGCTCATAAATGCAACCCAAGAGCTCCCGATGCCTTCCAAGCCCACCGCAGCAAAGGCATTGGATTGTTCTCCATGAACTGTCCATCTCTCAGCTTGAAGCATTTCTGAATCCTTCATCTATCTTTGATGGACCAATATAGATATGAAATATCAAGTGAGGATGTCCTACCAATCACATGCAATTATTAAGCACATGTATCAAAATTAATGTGGAACTTACCACACCATAACATGCATGTCTATATCCGTTCGATTTAAGGCATAAATGTCGTAGTCGATTCCTTAGTTCAGCTCTCAAATTTCAACACAAAGTAGGAGTTGTATAGCAAATTTCTTTGGATATTACTAGATTTTTAGTAAAACACTAGGTTCATTTGTTCAAACCCTGGCTAGATCATCATATTTTTGGGCACCTTGAAAGCCATAATTTTTTTGCCAATTTCAGTTTCATTCCGAAGGAATTCCTTTTGGGCCATTATCAACCTAATGCACACCAGTTTTGTGGTTGTATTTGGGCAAAATTATTTCTTTGACATGCACACTATAAGTTTCATCTTTGTTGATTGAGATCTTTGTCACCCTCGCCACTAGCTGGGTTCATATGTTCCTGGTGTTAACATAATGGCTTGTGTCCGAGTGTAGCTAAATTAAATGTGATTAAGATCATTCTCCAGTAAAGTGCAATTTTGTGAGTCATGTTGGTGTCTCTCATTTTGGCTTGCTATCTGAAATGACGGTGTGTTAATTAATAGGTTACACTCCTAATGTTGATGGTCATGGATCCTTTCCTGGTCGATGATGGATATTGGTTTCTAGAGATCATGTCGTTAAGATAAGCATCTAAAATTAGGCTTCACATTTGTCATCACCTTATGTACTACCAGTCTTCCACCATGAGGTTTATGAAGTTCAGAATTTTCTGGACCTTAATGTTGAAAGAGCTTCATTGTTAAGGTTTTTTGCCTATTATCAACTAAATAGAAGTTGTTAAAAGGTTAACCGTCATAAAATTTAGGTATATGAATACATCAGAGAAAAACACAAGTTTTGGTTTGTCAGAAAACATTGAACTTCTATTACTCGCATATGAAAAGTCCTTAACAGTCTGTTTGGATGATTAAATCTTTTGGAGTAGTAAAGCATATTATGCGGCTAAATTCACTCCCCCTAATAAATATAACTATATTAGATCCAATTTAGACTTTGAACAATATCTCCCCTAAAGTCATATCCATCGATCTCAGCACATAGTGGTGAGGTGGAAGGCGATACTTCATTTATATTCTTAGTAAGAAATTCACGTGTCCTATTACATCAAAGCGAAACCATCAATCCATTAAACGGTACACAGTTCGAGTTTAGTACAAACTGGTCAGTCCAATGACCGAGAATATTCATGAGCAAAACTGAAGCTACGCTTAACTAAAGATCTAGCCTTGGTGCATGTTTCCTATATGTGCTTGAATTAGTTAATGTGGTATTGTCATGGGTGCAAGATGCAACAGTCATTACAAAATATCCATAATGCTTAAAACAACTTTCATTAGAAATTTCAAAAGTCAAAATAGCGAAATAAAAGCCCAAAATGTCATTGCTGCACCATAAGAGCTACTGATGCCTTCCAAGCCTACCGAAGCAAAGGGACTCGAGAGCCCTCCATGAACTATTCATCTCTCAGCTTGCATCTATTTTGAATGCTTCACCTGCTCTTTTATGGAGTGAGGATGTACTATTTGATGACATGCATAGTCCAATTCCATGTGAAACTTACCACACAATAACCATGTATATATCCATTTAACTAAAGTCGTAAATGTTCTAGTCATCTATTCAGCTCAGCTTCCAAATTTCCACACTAAAGTGGGAGATAAATGGCAGATGCCTCTGGGTATAAATCTGACTTCAACTATAAAGTGAGAGAAACCTGGGGAGCAAATTAGTCGAAGAATTCTGAGCCTCTCTGCAAAATAAGAAAAATTGCCAGCAACCATGTACAAACGACACTGCATATAGGTTCACTAGTTCAAACTAGGAGCTAATGGTAGTGCTATTGGGTAGCTTGGGATTCGACCCACAAAAACTTTGTTACACATTGTGTGTGTGGGAGATTAAGCATGTAGAATTTAGACATCCGTATAATAAATTGTCACATTTTTTCCTTTTTCCTGACCAGAGTTCACCATTTTTTATGAATAACACTGAATACAGCCTTTTAGACCCAAGCTACATTAACTCTAAAATGTGTTGGAACGATCTATGATCTAAGAAAGTCAAGTACAATTACAAGAAGCTCCCATTCTTATTTGGGCTGAAGAGAGCACATTTTCTTAACCTCCACCTCAAGTTTGTATTCCTGACAATGCAAGATTTGGCATCACGTTCAGCTAACTATGCATCACCGTTAGTTTTAGTTGGTTTGAAAAGGGTGGGCATTCGTGGTGCAAGTTTAAAACCTGATGAATCATCGAGACGGGCTTTTAAAAGTATGCAACACATTTGTCCTCACGTTATGTATAAATGG